TCTTTCCTTATTTATTCAGACGCCGGGGATTCCGGTCGATTTTGACGATTTATCGAAGGTCGTGATTCGCAGACACGCCAGAAACGCAGATCCAGCTCGGCACATCGCTGAAGCCTAATACTATACGCGAGGGCACGGACGTCTACTTCGACTGTCTCATACAAGCAGAGCCGTCGGTGTACAAGGTGGAATGGCGGCATCAGGTGAGCGAGAACACGATTTTATAGTGAATTCGGTTGAACACACTAGTGCATATTAAAGCCAATGTACATTGACTTCTGGGTGTAAAAGTGAAATACAGTATTTGAATTATAAAATATAGATTTTACCAACAACACAATAAAATTTATTGAGTATTTCACGATTTAATCCATTTCTATATTTGTATCAAACACATCTTTACCTCAATTTGTGTACAATGGTCTTTATATGCATCAATCGCACTGAGTGCGTCCAATCAAATTTGCTATTACTCAGGCAGAAGCTATAAATGTTGTTTTGGTTTCCGAGTACTTGATACTTTGGAGTATCTCCTTACTTTGGAAGACAAGCAATGGCAATATAAACAGAGATAAATAAATGCATGCAAAAGTGGACAAGATAATCAATAGAGAGATTTCATTTAGTAGCATAGTTTGATGTATACAGATACTCAATAATGTATTAAATTATTACGAATCTTAATTATTTCAAAATGAAACGTGAGATAGAAAACATTCAGAAAATCACTGACTGTTAAAATGATAAAAACAAGTTGATTTAAACATTCTTCAAGAAATAAATTTACCAGAGAAATCAAAGACGCAAAACTTGAAATTACAATAATTTATTCAGCAAGATTTATTTAAAAGTTTAATCCTTAATGAATCAACTTTACGTTAACCAATTAGCGTACGTACAGCATCTATGCGCGAAGTAGAATTTATCATAATTATACCGAGGTTTCTCGGTACATAGAAAAATATTTCCCAGAGAAGATTCTCTGAAAAAAAATCAGGATATATTTGTGAATCATTTTCCGGAGATGTAATCTCCGCAAATATTCTCTCACTCCACCTTGCTGCGAATTATCATTAATCTATCTCGAAAATGCGTAACAACGTTCGTCGCCAGTAATTCGTCCGTATCTCTCGCTCTCAGAAAGTTCTAAAACCCGAGTGTCGTAAACAGATTGGTCTCTCGCCAACTAACAAGCTCGATTATGCCTGTATTCGCTCGTGCGCCACGCAAAAGCATCGACTTACGTTGAAACCGAATATAAACTTCGACGCTCGAAGTATCAAACTTTTATAATAACTTCCCGCCACCCCTGTCACGATGATCACTCTTATCTTCTTATTCTCGTCTTTGATGAACGAGAGGTTGTATCACCACGGTTTATTCATGTTCGTGTATGCGTATCATATACACATACAGAAAATAATTCTCGCCCCTAAACGCAGCCCGTTTAATGTAATGGCGAGAGACCAATTATTATGCTTCTTTCAGAGCAAGGCACTTCATCACAACATCACGCAGGGCATCATAATCAGCAACCAGAGTTTAGTGCTGCAGGGAGTTGATCGTAAAAGCGCTGGCAATTACACGTGCGTGGGATACAATACTGAGGGTGACGGCGAGAGCTCGCCTTTTTATCTCAACGTGATGTGTACGTATTCTTACATTTACAGCGTTAACAATAGAATACTGAATAGGACAGACGTTTTACAACAGCGAAGGAGAATTTATTCGTGTTCATCGGAACGTATAAATTAAATTAGAAATTTTGTTTTAAGTCTGATTCATTATTTAGTACAAAGTGATAAACAGAAGCATGAAAGTCAAATTGAATTTAAATACTAAATGTTTATATGATGATTGTCAGTAATACAAATAACAGACGTTTTCACTTTACAGTTGTGTGTTTACAACTTTGTACTTAATCTTCATATTTTTTATATGATTATTTATTATTTAATATCTTTTTTAACTGTATCGTAATGCTTTTGTAGTTAATACAAAGTAAAAAAATAGATCAAAAATATTTCAGTACACAGAATGATTCATTTTAATCTTAATAGGCAAATATTTTGAAAATATTTGCTCAAAAAACATGCCAAACAAATATAATGAAGCATGTGGACATTAATATTTTACCAATTTTAATCTATTATTCGGATTATTACAATCCTAAGTACATAACTAAATCCTCTTGATGTAGCTAAGTAATAATTCGAGTTATTTATCATATTTCAACGTATACTGAAATATGGTTGTTAATGCTTATCGATTTTATTCGGATTATTACAGTACTAAATACTATACTGAATCTTCTCGATGCAGCTACATTCATAATTCGGATTATTTATCGCACTAAGAATGCGAATGATAACGAAACGATGGTACGAAGATTCTCAACGGAAACGTGTTCGATCGGCTTCAGTTAATAATGGATTATAATGAGTAAAGATTCGATACTCGCGTAAATTCCCGCTGTGAAATTTTAATTTCTGGCTTATATACGTATATCTATACGTCCCTCGCGAATTGCGTGTACAATATTATCAGGATACCCAGCTGTTTATTCGTTTGCGTGCAGATTATCGGATGCGATATCGAAATATTTTGCAATAGTTTTGTTAATCAATATTTGAATTTATTTGAAAGCTTCGAGTCAGATGGGTATACGAAACGCAAAGCGTATTATTGTGAAGCTCGCATATATTTAATATAGAAATTCCCAGTTAAAAATTACAATAAGCGCATTATTAACACTTTATCCAGCAAGCTGTAAAAGAAGATAATAAAAGGATAAAGCTGATTTGGAGAATGTCTAATTTGATTAATAATAAAATTACTTAATACTGAAAATTAAACTGTCTGACCAATTATTTAAAAAAGTAATATTGAAGTGGATTTTGAGGTGAATTTTTAAATCCTGATTTTACTTTAGCTCTGTTATTATTATTGCGGAATTATTTAGCATTGGAATTAAAATATGCAAATTAAACTTTATTCATTTAAATAGATGACAGAAAGACTTCTCACGTCTAAAAAATTATAGAAATACTTTAAAAATATAATTTGTGACTGAATTATCAGGATAATAAAAATTTTTTAATTTCGAAATGATATTTTTAATAAGAAAAGTTAAGCCATTTCTTAAGAAATCTTTCTAATAGTGTAAACTAAAATAACAATAATATCTCGATAATTGTGCATCCTATTTATTAATCGAATAGTTTACCTTATTAGCTCTTTGCAAGAAACTTAAAATAGATCGCGAAGTATCGGTAAATCATTCCCAGCGAATTTAACGATAGCATAAGAAATTCACGAGCCTTACAAGATATCCTTCGTATCTTTTGCGCCCCAATTATTTATCGGTGACGTTCGACGTTCGTTCCCGCAGTCGCCCCTACGTGCAAGCCGAACCAGACGAAGGTCCATGGCGTAGCGAAACAGGAGAAGGCGAATATATCCTGTCAAGTGGATGCAAATCCGCCGGAAGTGCAATTCAAGTGGACCTTCAATAACTCCGCCGAGAGTATCGACGTTGCGGCCGGCCATATCGCGCGAGCTGGCACATCTTCCATCGTCTCATACACACCAATGACGGAATTAGATTATGGCACGTTACTCTGCTGGGCCAGCAATCACATCGGGCAACAACAAGTGCCCTGTGTATATCACATTATACCGGCGGGTAAGGGATCTCTGCATTCACATCATATTTCGTGAAAACGCGAAGCGACGTATCTGCCGATACGCAGCGTGAATTTTCGATTTAGACCAGAAGATTGATCACCACGACGAGTTTGCGTGAGATGTGGCGTAACAAAATTATGCAAACTACAAACAATTTTTTTTATTAAATCGATAGGTAATATTTCTCGTACTAATTCAATCCAATCCTTCTTTAATTTATGATTGTCTCCCCTTGGCGAGAGCGAAAATGAATAGATAGGAAATGGAAAGAAATTCCTTTTTTAGAAAAAAGAATATGATAGGAACCGGTGGATGATAATTTTAAAATCTTTTCTCTATATTTTGCATATTAAAAATTTATACTTGTACAAAATGAATTTCTATCCTATGCTTAATTAGCCTACAAAATTTCGTAAATTAGTGAAACTAACAATAAAGTTAATAGCTTTAATCCTTCGGGATTTAAATCTTTCGGGAATTGTAACTGTTATGCTAATTTAGAATTTGGATTTTATTCCTGGTTTCTAAAGTCTCACATTTGCGTAATTGAATAATTAATTCGAATCTTAGTATAAAATTGGAAAGACGCAGTTTTTTTTTGTGTATGAGTTTTAATAAAATCATCCAATTATGAGAAACTTCGAAGGCTTCGAGTTATAATTAGTTCCAATTAGTATTGTTATAATAGCGACATGAATCAGATAACGTGATAATGAAGTCGCGAATTATCTCTGAATATCAAAAGTCTTTGAAATGTATATAAAATTTAAGGAATATTAATACATTGTATGTTTCTCTCTCTCTCTCTCTCTCTCTCTCTCTCTCTCTCTCTCTCTTTGCATTCACATGATAGCAGAAAAGATATCTGTTTCTTTCAATTATCAAACAAATCATTACAATAAATGAACTTGATACTGTTGTTTTTTATATTCCAATTCGACTTAAAAAAATCTAATGTAAGCCCAATGGATCCATCCGTGGCATTGGCTACCCCGTTATTCTCATATCGGCATTTCCGCCGCGTATCGATTCTCGAGTTACCAATTAATTGCGATTCGCGGATCCTACTATCGAATTGCGTTACAAAGAAAACGCGTGTACGCGTATACAAGGATAAGCGTATTCCGGATATAGAGGAAAACAGCTCTCGTACCGCGCACCGTAAAAAAAAAACGAATCCAATGGTGGGCGAGTAAAAAGGGGACACCGCGAGAGACGGTAGCAGGTGTCTGATGCGCGCTATGATTTTTCAGCAACCATAAACGTGAAAACAACTCGGGCATATTCCCGCTTATTTCCTTTTCTTTATTCCCCCTTTCTTTTTCTTGTCCCTTCACGACGTAATATGCCGTTATCATTTCGTTCGCGCCCTTTTAACCGGCTTTTACGAGCCGCGAAATGTACCGTCGCGTCGGCTCTAATGCCTTTACGGAAAAAAAGCCAGACAACCGTATATCTTTACAGCCGACTCGGTTACAAGTGGCTTGTATGCACCAGCGCATCGTGCGCTGGATTTACAGGGCAACTATCACGCCCTGATTCGCGAATCTACCGCACGCGAAACGATGTTACACAACGCTACCCCCTCTGCGCCGTGTTCTGTATGAAACTATACATCATTTCGGCACGAGAAAAGAACGCATTGAAAGTTGGAGTAAACTGCAGAAACTGCTGACGCTGAAGAGTTACCGCTGTACTTATGTAATTAGTTTCGCTTAAAATTCAGCGCACTTTAATATAGCGTAAAAAGTAGAAATAAACAAACTTTGAGAAACTACGGGGAAGTTATTATTACGCAATTTTTTTTTTACGTTCGTACTTTGTTTTTCATTCATATTTTTTATTTGTAATTTTCCGATTCCGAATATATCTATATGGGGGCTTTAGAGCTGCACGATTTGGGAGAGAAAAAGTTATCCCATTTTTCTAAACTATAGAAAAATGTAGCTTTTATATTGAACATTAACTATTTTTAATAGAAGGCGACAAGCCAATTTTTTGCGAAATATATATAAAATTGAAAGGTGAATGGAAAAAATTGTCTTACATTTTTTATTTAATCTAAACGCAAAATTGTTAACAATCGAAAAAGGTTTTTCCTGTTGTTGCCATTCCAAATGAAAATATTTTAATATTACGTCGTTAATTCATTTATTTCTACAATTTGTTTGGCCAATGCCAAATGGAGACAAGCAAATATAATATTTTAATCTGAACCTGTCAAAGCTTCGAACAATATTGTTTTAACAGTTATTTAAAACATTGAAAGAGATTCCGATAGTTATTTCCTAAAAAAATTGATATATACAGCGTCGATCTCATCAATATTTTAAATTTTTATCACTACGTATAATTTGATTTTGTAGCTTTTTAATTTCGATAATCGTTTTTCACCATTCTATTTTCTCTCTTGTTATCCGTCTTACTTAATAATGCCGACGCGCAAAATTTCATCGATTATCAAAAGGGTGCACTTGGAGAAAATCTAAAAGAAAAAATTACCCCGCGATATTATCGTGGTTTTGTGGCTATTACGAGCTATTACGAGCGCGTGAATAGTCTCTCGTGCACGCGGCGCATTTTAAAACGCAGGCGAACCTTATCCGTGACAGGTCGACCAGACATGGTTCACAATTGCACGACCTCGAACACGTCGACCAACTCGTTTTCCGTGCGGTGCACGGAGGGCTTCAACGGCGGCCTGCCGCAATCCTTTCTGCTGGAGGTGCGCGAGAGCAACAGCCAGGAGTTGCGTGCCAATCTGACGTCGCCGGTGCCGCGCTTCAGCGTCACTCACTTGGAGTCCGGCGCCCTTTATCAGGCCTGCATTTATGCCTACAACGACAAGGGTCGTAGCGAGGCAATGGTGGTGCAGGCCGGTACTTTGAGGCTACCGGAAAAACAACTGACGTCCGAGTCAGGTGAGAAAATTCCCCTATTTTTTTTTCTGGAAACCGAGACCGGTAATCACGCTATTTTCATATGATATTCTCACGCTAAGAATCGAATTACTTGAAGTATTTAACGAGAAATATGCGCATACAAATGTATTATGGATATTAATGGAATTAAATTATGGAATTAAAAAGATATGTTCCGATACGTGTAGTCTTGTATATTAAAGTAAATTGATACTCGTTCAATATTTCAAAAATTCCTGTTATACTCGCTGTGTAACGTTAACAACTCCGAAGTTTTCGATATCTTTTGAACAAGCTCCGATACTCGATTTGCTTGAAAGTTGCGAGAAAGTATTGACTCAAGAGTCTTCGCATCATAGTGTATATATGGTTTTCAAATCTTTTTGCTCGCACCACAAAATTTTCTTTATCGTAAAAAGTCACGCGACTGTATCGTATTTTTGAAAAAAGAAATTACTATTATACAATTCGAAACAAAGTCCCTGTCAAATAAAATTATAAATTGATTTTGATAACAAATAAAATTATCAATTGATTTTAAAATTACAATTAATCGACGAGAGATATCGTTCTATAATATTATATACTGAGAAAAAAGTGTTTGATCTTTGTGACTATACTTGCATGGTAAAATAATTATAGTTAGGAGCTCCATTTTTATGGTTATTACTGCTATAATGTTAGTAATAATAGCCTTAGTTCTCTTAAATATGCAAAACTACTATAAATTAGATAATTTCAAATATTAATATAATAAAATATTAAAGTATAAATGTGGTAAATAAAATAAACGTTTTTATTTAGTAAATACAATCGCAATTATAGGGAATACAACTATTTTCTTAAATTCAGTTACCATTTGTATGTAGAAATAATCATTAAAATCCTCAAATTTTGTATGCGGCGCGCGCGGTTGTTGTTGTAGCGTGTTTTTCTTTTTATGACGCGGTATTCATGCGCGTCCGATGTTATACGACATATATTAATCCCAAAAGGCTACAGAGATTTAGATAATTACGGAAAAATTCACGTCGATGAGGCAATGCGAGCGAAAAGCTGCCAATTGGCCGAATTGATGAAAAGCTATCGACTCAATATTAATTCGTCGGGCGAGCCCTGTAAAAAGCTCCCGGCGTTTTTATGACCCGACGCGAAAAATCGGGTCAGGAATTGGCGATTTAATACTATCGGACAATTTTCCCGTTGTTTGCCTGATGCGATTGTTATCGTAATTTTTAATTCGTCCACTACCGATGTCCGGATCATGCTTTATGTATATCTCTATTAAAATAAAATGCGGCCGGCTGTATTTAGGGCATTACTCGTTGCATTTCGGGATGTGCAAACAAGCCAAACGTGATACCTATGCCAGATACTTTTTGTATTTTTATGAAAGCCGTGTCTGTTGCGTTATTAACATTTTGTGTAGCATGTTATTATTGTATCGTGTAATTCGTTAAAAATCCGATTCGTTTAAATTTTAAAAAGTGCTTAAAAGTGTTTTTATTAACATGTAGTATACACGATTGTGTTATTCATGTCCTGTATATTTTTTTTCTTCGAAAAACGAAGCATCAATAATTAATTATAACGTTTGTATACAATTTTTTAAAATACACAACCTTACAAATATTTTCTAAAGGTGTTAAAGTATATGTGAGAATTAATTAATAATTTTTGTATATTTGTTAAAATGATGAAAATTAATCTAGACACGAATGATCCATTGTAAAAGGACTGGAAAATCATCGTATGTACTAAGGATTAAAGAGAATGTCATTTGTGTTTGAAGTGCATGCAACTAAAAGCTGTTTAAAATAATTACATGATAATATCATATCGATTTTGTGTTCGATATCGATTACTTTTCATTCTCAATTCTTCGATTGTGGGCATTGCAGAACGACCGAGGCAGCACGACAACCTGACACCGATGCTGAGCGTGACGATCGGCGTTGTGATGGCCCTCATTATCGTCGCGGTTATAGTGATGGTCGTTTTACGGATTCAGCACACGCACGTAGAGGAGCAGAACAAGTCGCAGATGGAGGATCACGCGAAGCAGACGAAGGCCGTTCCCATACAGAGGGAACTACGATTCCGAGAGGGATGCAGTTTGCTCGCGGACGAGAAGCATCCCAGCAGCCCGTTCAGAAAGTTGGAAACTAGCGGCGATCTCAGCGAAAGCGACGAGAAGAATCCTGACATTATTCCACAGCAGATTACTGGTTCGTATCTTCGCAATTTCTGTATTAATTCTAAAATTGGTAAAACTACAAAAATGTGTTAAAAATCACATTACAACGAAAAACTTGAAAGAAAAAATTAACAAAAATCGAAAATATATATATCTTTATCTTTTTAAATATAATTTTTCTTAGAAAAACAAATTACAAATCTATATATATAGTAAATTAAAGAGTATGCAATTTATATAAAATAATTTAAAATTATAAAATATCTCATTGACGGAATCAGAAATTTGGCCACAAGCGAAATTTTTTAAAAATCAAATGTGAAACAATATAATGGTATAAATAATTATATTAATTAATAATATTAAATTATTATTTAAATTATTTTAATTATTATATAATTGTAATATCAGAATTATGATTAAGCATTTCAAAAATATTAAAAATATATAAATATAATGTATAAATATTTTTGAAAACCTGAAGTTTTCATTTTTTTAAATATTTATAGCATAGCCTCCATGTCCTCCCTGTGGATTTGCCAGTGAAGCATTTCAAAGCACACTTTCTTCAAGATTGAAAGAAAATCTCGCCAATAGTGCGCTTCCATTCATTTTACGTGGTTATTTCGGAAATTTTCTCATTCGTGTTTATACGGTCGTAAAACTCCGTGGCGAAATTTGGTGGTTGTAAAATTGTCGTGAAATTTTTGCGCAGGTGATGAGCCGTCGGAATACTTAAGGAAGAGACGTCTGGTATCAACGATCGAAACGTCACCATCAAGAAGCCTTCTGGAGCACTCAACGGTGACTTCCATCAGCGGACACAGCAGTTACGTCGGATATTGCACGATCCGCAACGGCATGCCACTGCACGAGTTCTCCAACTTGTCGACGAAGCACAAAAGCGTGAGTTCCATTAAAGATTTGATAATGTGAATGTCGTACAAATATTTCGTATAAATATTTAACGAAATAACAAAGTAGCTTACATCGATAACAATTGAGTATCGTACAATTAAAAGGATGATTGCACGATTCAGGATTAGATTAAACAATAAATGACATTTCCAATCGATACGTAAAAACATAATTAAATAAGAAACTGCCTTAATTGGATCTTAGCTGGATCTTAGTGCTTAATAATATTTCGGTATGAAAAATTTATGAATATCCTGTTCTATAAACTGTATATCGATTTAATTTTCTTGAAATGCAATCTTAAAACACATATCATAAATTAAATTTACAAGCAATTTGATGATACTAAACGTTTTTAAAAATACTATAAAAAATTTAATTTGTGATATTATCCTAGTTTAAGATCCTAATTTATCATCATGTTTCAACACCATATATGATCGAAAGTGTTACGTTTCAACACTATAAATGAAATTATCGCGCAGTTTATAAATATTTATATAAATTCACAACGAAATATTAGCATTATATAAGACCGGCTCAGATCGAATTAAACATTTCCTATTTAGTTAAATATAATTAAATTGAATATCCATGAGATACAATGATAATGTCTTGCGATTCTCTCTTAAACAACTACATATATAACTTCATATGACCGTATATCAATAGTCCATAGATGTATCTTCGAAAATCTAGCTATAATGAAAATCATGAATGACACGTTTCAGTTTCAGCCGATGGTGGGCGACGTCTATGAGAGCGGTATGTGCACCCTGCCCAGGCAACATTGGCCCAGCCAAAGCGTTCAATCGATGTCGATGACAATGAGTCCTCCGATATTGTACGCCGGTCTGGGCGTCGTCACCAGGACCTGTCCGAGCGGCACGCTGCCGACGAAGGACTGTGAGACACGAGTGCCCGGCCAGTGTTGTCCAGCAATCCAGACGCAGAAGGATGCGACGATAGGCACGCCGGTGGTAATGGCCAAGAGGGAGAGCTCTGTGTGACCCTACACCCACCACGGGGCCTGCACCTGCAGCGTGAGCGAGTTGCTGTGAATCACGCCATTGTCAATCGCGAGATAGCCGCCGATCCTGGATGACACGAGCGTCCCAGGAAACGTTTGGGAGATGTCTACAGGTCACGCGAAGATTGGAACGTCTTTTAGGAATGAAACTTCAATTTAAATTCCAAAAGACGTTTGGACAATCGTTATTTAGATCTGAAAATTGAGATGTCTCCTTTGAACGATTTGTAGAGGGATGTTTCCTTTTACCAAACTGGAATGTTCCTCCGACATCGCTTGTGTCGTCCGGAACGCTTTGGGCGTGCGAGCCGGTTTGAGTTCGACGGATTTATGTTTTCACTCCATGACAAACGTCACTATTTGCGTCTCTCTGTTGAATCAAGTGCCCTTTTTACACTGAAAAACGACGAACATCCCGACCGGCTGATCTGCCGGCTTCTCTCATCTCGCGTGCGTAGCCTCGTGATCGAGCCCCGGTGGAACCAAGACGGGCACCTCATATGGTAGAGAGTGAATTTACGAAAATATGCGTGTGCGCGAGCTCACTAGCTTGCCGCACATACTCCTGTACATACCTCGAGACACGGAAGATATTTTGTACGAGTCGCGTATATTAATGATTTATTCCCACTTTTACTATGAACACAACACTGTACAATTTGTCTAGTCGATGTAAGTATAAATATGTATATGCGTTAAAGTCGTCGGGGAGGCGTCAGACCAGAATAACGTACACTGAGGGGGATGATCATCACCGTCGCGTCACGCCGCACGTGCGACATAATTATTTATAACGTTGACAATGCGTAAATGCGAAATAGCGGAACTCTCGCGGGTACGGGAGAGAGAACGGGGGGAGGCGAAGTTGTCAGAGACATATCGTTTGTATCTCCATCCGCGGGAATCGAGTACGAGACGAGGTGTACGAAGAGCAGCGGAGTAATGAGACGAAAGACGAAGAAAGAAGAAAGAATGATGAAGAAGAAAAAAATAAAAGAATCCCTGTCGCGCTTTCGTCTCAGTCTGCAGAATTCTGGATTTCATCGTAATATTAAGTATCTCTTGTACAATGTATAAAGTAACGACTTCCTTCGAAGTAAATGTACCGAGTATGATGAACGTTGTTTTTTCAAAGTCTTGAATCTTACTCTATATAGAGAGATGCCCCCAATTAAAAAAAAAGTGTGGTACAGTAATCGCGATAGCACTTCTAACTTACTGCCTGTTTCGACGCTTGTGACTCTCGTTGGTAACTTCATTTGACAGAGGTTTCCCGACCTCTCTGTATCATATAGCTTTAAAATGAAAAAAAAAAGAAAAGAGAAACGAAGGTTCGTCGAAAGGCGCCTCGTCATATCCTCCGTACGATACAGGGATAATCTCATCGTTGATTAGAGCGGCCCTCTGGCTAATCCGGGTTGCTAACTCGCGAAAAGTAAGGCGAAAATTGACCATGTAGCCTTTCCCTTGATATCGAGCAGTCGATTACTGATGCATTTCAGCTATATTATTACGTGAGACGCGCGTCAGAAGTCTCTCCTTTTCGCGCGAAGTGATAATAATACCCCGTATTTTGCTTCGATCTGTACAGATTGATTTTTCGCGTATAGGATTTACGCTCCATGCCAGCGACGATCCTTCTGCGACTGCAAGGACTCACGTGAGAGTCAAAATGCCCTTCATACAGCGTGAGAAGAAGAGAGAGATATCTTTCGATGTTCACGTATTATATCTAAATAAGATCGTCGTGTATCTAATCGTTCTAGAATTTGATAACATAATCGTAATTAATCCGATGATAAATGATCGCAAATTTTTTCTGACGTTACAGCGCGTTTTACGCTCTCTGAAGCAGCGATATCGATCTAGTTTAGGAAACTAGAACTGGAACACGAGATGAAACTCTTTCAAACGTGTTTCGAGAGCGCGAAAGTTACTTAACTTTTTTCATCGCATTGTTCCTTTTACATTTTAATTATTAAGCATTAAATGGTTTTCCATTTCTCTATAAGCGAGTTTTATCTTCGAACGGAGTCACGATTTCTGTCTCTTTTGATACGGCAATGTCACCAAAAGCCAAAAGTTTCGTTGAAGCAGCACGGTATTTGTCTACCAGATCGGAACTTCGCGCAAATTGACTATAAAGGGAATGTAGGTTGTGACTGTTTGCAGTCGCGTCGTCGTTGCAGTCTGTTATACGTGCTTGCAAATGAATATGCAGAGGAGACGGTCCTCACACACGGACGAAGCATCCGCGTTTCCGTTCGCCGTGGGAAACGACAGGTGATTATCCGGGGATACTTAGCGAATTATTCGATGTGTAAGGAATGTAGAAAACGGCGAAGTCGAAGATTTTATGAGCCGTAAGAAAGCTGTCACGAGAATTTCTAGGGCGAACACGTTGTTTTCTCGATCGCTTAGATATTACGTTAACGCGTCGCTCCCGTGAAGATCTATTAACATTAAAAAAAAAAATGAGATGAATCGTTGATTATTATTATTACTGCCATTAATGGAATTGATGTCGGAACATTGTGAGTGTATGTTGTCGAAGAGAATTTTTAGTAATCGTTGATACGCAATTGATACGCGCGTTCCTCCACCTCCTCCCCCCTCCCCTTGTTATAACTTTTGCACACACATAGAGATTGTAGCCGTATACAATATAAAAGAACATTGCAACAAAGAGATTCTGCGATCCGACGACGGGGAAATGTCACAGGAACGAAAAAATGTACAATAAAACCTGGATCCAAACTGCCAAAGTTTTCTATGCTTCGTTCGTACGTTTATGATATTACTTATATACACCCGCTATACTACGAGAAAAGGTGTGAACTTTTTAATAAATAATAAATAGATTTTTTTCTAACGAAAAGACACGATTGTCTGAGAAAATATATTTATTAATTCCATTTTATCAACACGTTAAATCCAAGGGAACATCAAGAGTAAAAAGAAAAAGAAAGAAGATAAATCATCATTTTTCCGCATCTTGCTTGCGACAGTTGGTTTCCAGGGCACATTTCTACTTTTCGCTGTTCCGGTGATCCGGAACCTTTCGGCCATCGAACGCGTCGCGAGGCATAATATCGCAAGGCGGTGGCCAGACATTATTATCTGCAAAACGATTAAACGATATTTGTCAGCCAGCACACACTGGAAGATTTAACGTGAGTGTCGATGTTCAATCGCGCATGAATCGTGCAGTTAATCCTCAGTGAAAACATGATATCGACGTCGGTCGCACTCGTTTCAGTGTAACTTAAGTATCGATCGAAAAACGAGACATGTCAAGGGGATGTTGTTTTTTTGTTAATTTTTTTTAAAGGTAAGAGTGCATTGCTACACTGTTCCGTATGCGTCACTGCCTGTATATCGTAATAATAATGAGATCGGATCTGACCAGCCGCCGCTTGCGCGAGACAACATTGAAGTTTGTATATGTACTTAGTTTAGGACTATCTCCGACATACACAACACACACACACACACACATACACACATACACACGAGTCTCATGTACCCCAGAACGTTTTTTTGATATTGTAAATATTCTGAAATAAATAATCGTTTTTATTCACGCGACTCGCATGATTATTGTGTTTCTCAGCGGCAATCTTCGCGCGAATCAACGATGATTTAATCAGTTTTTTACCAACGTTATAAAACCCATTTGTTTCTTTGTTAAATTCACAGATATAAAATACGCAAATCTATCGAAAACAGATTTTGCAGTGTCTGTTATAAAATTCAATGATAGAATGCCAGCAAAAATATAATAAAATATAATAGTAGATTGATTGATAGAAATCATGTAATATATATTTATAATTTTAGAATATATCATTTATCATTTCAGTTATTGTTCAGTTATTGTTATTCTTAATTTATTATTATTCCATTTCATTACATGTTCTGTTTAAATGATTACGAAATAACAGATTCTGCTAGAATTTCTACTGGCAATCTGTCGTAAGATTATGTCGGCACTACTGGCAGAATACGAGATAAAATCGATGTCAATCCAGTGCAATAATCTTCTGGAATCTACTGGCATACAACTAACATTTTACTTACTCGGTGTACGTCAGTACGTGTAATTCTTACCGTCCCAGAATGCACTCGGCGACGCATCAGAATACATTTGCAAATACTCCTCGACGGTTTTGAGCACGGGCGAATTCACGTTCAAGAGAAACTCGAGAACTGTGCTCTCGGGGAGATACCAGGCCGCTTTGTCTCCCAAGTTCCGTAGCACGTCTTGAGCGTCGATCGACTGTAAAATCGAATAAAACTAGCGTCACGGGATAAAATGGAGGAAATTCTTAGCTTTATATATTTAGTATCTCGGATTCAAAATCCTTCTTTCCTCCCCTTCCCCAATAATTCTTTGAAGCCTCATCAAACCTCTATTCGACATCCACACAGAGTGTTGGACGCTTTATATCTCCCTTAGATCTCTGTAAAATTGCGAACCTTTTCGTGAACCGCGTTTGCAATATACTCGCATAACGTGTACACCTTTATTAGACAGTTTGAGACTTGCTTTAGAATGTCGTCCAATGTATGAGCTTCTAACGTCCCTATTAAAGTCGGCGGTATCATGTAGACGTGGCACCATCCTGAGAAGAATCTCTGCAAGTGCAATATATGTATGCGCAATCTTTTTTTTATGTATATCCACATGCACCACATATCAGGCCACCGACTTGATGAACGTGATGATACGAAGGCAAAGGAATTGCTTTTCCGAATTTGCATTCATCGTCGTCTAAGGCGTACATAAGCTCGTAGTGCTTATAAATGATATCTTCCCACGCCTGTAGAGAATAAATCTCTGCCTTATTTCCATTTTTTTTCTTAAAAAAGTAACGACTAGATGGATCATAAATGAGAATAGCAATCATCAAAGAAAAATTTTACGATTTGAAGATTTGCAAAATTTAAATAAGCAATAACTTACTTTAATATTTTCTTCTTTTATGATGTAACGTTATATAATATGGAGATAAAAATATTGAAATACCTCTAACACGTGAATGTAACATGATGGGTAAACAAGAAATAGTCCTGTAATGGACATGTTATTGTAATCCATGCATAAATCTCGTATAATATTTTCCATTCTCTACGAAATATAAATTATTTAAAAAATATACTTTTCAATCGCGTGACATGCGTGATTATAATTTGAATTAGTACTGTTCGTAAATATAAAAATATTGTCTCTGTATAACAGAAACACAAATTCTTTAACGTTTACTTGTTATCTTCGTTGAGTGTTGCTGTTAACCCCCTATAGTACAAAGTTGCACAAAAGTTGCAGCAACACTCCCAAACGACAAAAAGTATCTAAAATCAAGTCAAAAGACGTTTTTTGCGTATAAAAGACTTAAAGACGTCTTATATCATAATTTTAGACTTTGTGTTGTTTGGGCTGCTGCAACATTGTATGTTGCAGCAATATTGCAGAGATTTTGTAACAATATTGCTGCAAATTCTGAGCTGTATGGGTAACGTAATGTCGCTAATTATATTTGCTATAATTTCTCAAAATATAGTTCATTTCCAGAAATTATTGCAGTCATAATTATACAAAACTCTAAGAAACTCTAAGAACAACATATACAATTTACGCTGGCACCTACCTTTCGTAAAACTTCATGAGTTCCGCGATATTTCCCGATGTAAACGACTCGCGTAATGTAAGTTTTCTAAAAAGAGAATGATGTATTCAAGAATGAACTATATAAACTTTACGAACTTAGTATTATTTCTGTTTAACTTTAATATTACAAATATTTTATAAACATTTTTATACGCGAAAATTTTATGTCACCGTTTCAATACTATTTTGATTAAAAATTATTAATTGTAAATACATATTAAACAATCAAATAGTACAACTTACGTAACCAATGGCGCGAAGATTATATTGTATTACGTCTAAAACGCTTTTTCGCACTGGTTCGGTTAATGACGCCATTGGAAGTTTCTCAACATATTTTTTCTTACTAGCCATTAATGCGTGTTATGTTCTGCTGTTAACTTCGTAAATTCGTCTTTCACATAGAAGCAGAAATTCTGCGTATATTTTTAATATGACAACGTAATGGCGGTGATGGTGAAAAGAGCGATCTGAACATTCAAAGAATTCCTTTTCAACGAGAATGCTTACTTTGAAGCTATCTTCATTACTGCAAGTTTTCTATACACAGTGAATAAAATGGCAAATACACATCAGTATCGTAAATACTTGAATAGATACATAAATCTGCGTCCAAAATTGAGCTGTTCTCCAGCTTGTGGATAAATAAAAACGGATAAAAGGTAAAAATAAAAAAGATAAATTAGTAAAATACTTTCGGATGAAGGACAATCGATATATACATATATCAAATAAAATGGCCAAATAATTTTTTGAAATCAGATCTCTAAAAATATATTTATCAGAGAAATTTCTACACGTAATAATAGGTTGCTTTCGCAAATCAGAGATCCATGAAATTTAATTATATAGAATTAAAATTTAAATCTAAATATGTAGTATCAAAGGATCACTATGAAAAACTAATTGTGACAAGATTATGCAATAAACGATTTTGCATTTTAATTTCACACGAAAGTATATTAGTTTACGCGTTATCACAATCGAGTTAAAATCAATCATTATTTATATTATCGCGCTTATTCTAAACATTATCTACTAAATCACATTGCTAAATTGCGAATAATTCTAATTATTTTTTTGGTATAATCGGCAACAACGGCGGTGTCGGTTCGCTAGGATTACCTAGCCATACGGATTTACTAAAGCGTCCCTTTATAACGGGCGCTTGCCACTTGTTACTGCACACGACGGTAGCCGTCGGTTTCTCCGCCGTGACCGTGGCTATGCTTACAGTCCTGAAATAGTAATAAAGATTATTTAAGAGTATATGAGTGAAAAAATCACATACTAATAATGCGAAGTAAGTCCCTAGTTTAACGAAATGGAATAAAACTATTTACAGAACATCACGAAACGAGGTAATAAAACAAGAATGTTTTCATTGCACGCATATTCCTTAGGAAAGAAATAACTACTGTGGTGAAGAATGTTTACACGGAACTTTAGTAGAATAAGAGAGGAGAAAATGAAAAGGTATTCGTAATGCACAAACAGCATTTATTAATGAAAAACGTGTTACAAATCTTTTTAAGCGCCGTTTATTTTTTAATAGTAAATTTACGAAAAAATAATTTCTCCAAATTTGAGTACGTATTAAGGGTTATTCCCCGGAGCTTACTATAACAATACATACTGATTCTATTCATATCCTCCACCCATATCCTCACAAATTGTTTGTACACTTTATATCAGAGCCTCCCAATTCGCGCACCGTAGGCACGAAATTTCGTGTACTCTGCTTTATATTATGTATAAATTACTTTACGTGATTTTGCAACATTTTAAAATTTTAATAAACAATGTGATGAGATAATTGAGATGAATTTGTCATAAAAAGAGTAATTCTAATAAAACATAAAAATTATAAAGCTGCAAGATGGTATAACAGTAGCAATGTAATATTTATCACATTGTAAATGTATGATTGTTTCAGAGAACAAACCCAACGTTAAAGATGCGATTATAATAATAAATTATATAAACACAAAATAAAACAATAAAGATGGAGAACATAGGTGAATCACAATTTTCATGATAACGATTGTACACTTTTATGTTTTCTATCTGGTAAAAACTAGTGCGTAAATAAACACAAAATAATTCACGATTGTCTATTCTATAAATTGATTAGGTCCTCTAATGCCAAGGTACTTGACTTGGATGACTGATGGTACCCAGTTTGTAGTACCTGGTGGTAGATGGCATCTGTTGAGCTGGTGTAGACGAACTCGGCGGAGTCGCTACGATGGGAGTTTCAGCACCCTGAGCTGGAACGCCATCTCCTTTGAGAACAGAGATGCATTTCCAATGGTTAATGAAATTGTCCTTCCACAATCGGACGCAACCATCGTCGCCGGAACTTGCTAAAATAGTTCCCATACAGTTCCAGCTAACACGCCAGACGGTGCAGTAATGATCATCGAACTGTGCGACTACATTCGTTTCAAAATGCGACACACCGGTTTGTGTACTCTCACTGAAAAAACCAAATAATGTACATTTATTTTCTAGCTTACCTATTATTTTTTTTTATGCAATCTTGAACAATTTTACTTACTCTGTCGGCTTTAAAGTGACTATCCGTACATCCTTTGTAGCTATAGCTAATGTGTGGAAATTTCTGCCTAGATTAGGAGCAAACGCAATATCGTAAACAGCATCCGTAATACTCGACAATGTCTCGGCCTTCACCCAACGCCTACTATTCTCAGAATATTCGTAAATAAAGATTTTTGCTCCAAGTGTAGGATTTGGATCGTCGCTACCGACTGCTATCATAGGTGAATGTAGTCTAAAGTATATTTTTACCAAATATTAATACAAGCACATTAAAATATTGGATTTTATCTTATACATTAGATCTTATTATTACATAATACATTATTATTGTGTAATAAATTATATTCTTTATATCAGTAACATAAATTTAAAAAAATTAAAAGGAGATAAGAGTACACTTACCTGGAGAGAGATGGATTCCAAGTAAGACAACTACACGAAAGTTTACAGTTGATGTCATGCTGTAATGTCCACTGGCTCAAATTCATGATATCTGGTGCTTCATATATCCGAATGAATCCATCTGCGCTACAAGTAGCCAGAAGAAGGCCTAAAGTCTTTGGTGCGAACCTTACATCTGTGACCGAAGTACGTGAATCAACTAAATTTGTTCTTTTAATCCAATGTTTGCTGCCACGAGCTTCTGGCCCAGAACCTTCGCCAACTGTCAAGAAAAAGAAAAGATGTAGAGAACAGTAGAATATAACGTCAAGAGAAATATGGAAGAATAAAACAAAATCCATCACACCAATTTCTTCCCAAACAGCAGCGGTGCGATCAAATGAACACGTAGCAAGAACCTGACCAAATTCTGGGTGTGCCCAAGTGACTTTCCATACCGATCCACTGTGGGCCTTCCAAGAAGCAGTAAGATGCCAGTTTCCATGTTCGTCTTCATCCCAAACCTGTAATATTTCATTATACCTATAATATTTCATAAATAAATATATATATTAACAGAAATTTTTAAAAAAATTAATTATGAATTATATATTTAATATCTATATTTAGCAATAATGAAGTATGTAAAGCATACTAGGAAGAAACTGAATCGTATGTCTACAGGTCTGTTTTTTATAGTTCAACTAGTTCACTTTTTGAAATTAAAATGGAATAGGTATAAACAAGTAAAATGTCTATATAAGCCTTTACAATATTGATGCTTAAATTCGTTATTCATAACACGATAGATACATAATTTATAATCAGTTGATATGTGTAAACAAAGTCAAAGTAAACCCAAACATTGTGAGTCGTGTCTACCGTGTTATGAATATATAATTTAAACACACTTCAACATCCATAGATGCTCACATAAGCGTTTTGCTTGTATCAGATGCATTCTTCAAATCGACAAATATTACTATTTTATTTAAATTCAATTTCAAATAAGTTTGATATTTGATGAAAGTGAGAAAGAAAGTTCTATAGTGCAGTCTAATGCAGGAGAATAAAAACAGACCTTATCCATTCGTTTACTCTACCTTTACAAATTGGTCACTGGAGCACGTCGCCATTCGTTCCCCATAGTAATCGTAGGCGATATCGTGTATGAGATCTTTGTGCTCCGCATTGATGCTGTGCGCCTCGTACATCGCGAAGGAAATAAATATCAGTGATATACACTCGCGTGAGAGATTGTTTACTAAACGCGCCACACGTTGAAGGTTATAATACAGCGTGCTTCGTATCGATACTGTCGACGTCTGTCGGCACCAACAGAATTATGGGTGCTCGAATTTGCTCGAATCCACTCGAATCTACGCAAGATATGTGGATGGCAGCGCTCTCTATACCGTTTCAAACTTCCTTTAAATATCAACATTCACAAAGTTCAATTTAATTAAAATTATGCTGAGATTTAATTGCCAATCATGCAATATAAAATATTAATAAATTGAAGAATAATTAAAGAATCATAAATTAAAGAATTTAATAAAAATATTATATTTCGTTCTCTCCTCCTCTATCCTGCAAGGAAACTATAATATAAAACAGATATAAAATTAATAAAAAAATAAAAAAATATTTTTACTTTATAACATAAATTATTTTATATATATTAAAATTCTATTTCATATATTATCACTAGGATGTCCCATAAGAAGTTGCTGAAACTTTCTATAAATGCAAGTAGCAAATAAGAAAAATAAAATATCTCTCTCTCTCTTCTTTTATTTCGCAGTTTTATTTACATAATAAAGTAAAAGTGATCGGAAATATTTTTATTATTTATTAATAAATGTTTATAAGACTGGAAATCTTATAATATATATACATATATACTATATATATAGATATATATCGGGAATTTAAATAAAATATTTTATGATCATTAAGATTGACTGCAATGTTCGGCATTTTTATAAACATTTATTAAATGATAAATTTAATTAAATTTATTAAATGATAGAAATAATTAAATATCAGCAAAAAAATTATTAAAATATAACAAAAAATTCTCAACTTTTATAAGCGAACAGATATACTTCTTTCTTCATTTAACAAGAGATTAAATATCGGCAAATTATTGTTCTTGTATTAATTAATTATGTTAAACGTTACGTTACAAGATCCTTTAGAACAACTAGCGTTACAGCGCAAAAGTCGTGTGTAAGGCCGAAGACGGTTTCGGATAACACTTTGACCCGTTCGTATGGTGTCCGTTATCCGAGACCAACTCGCTCTCGTGCAATTGCAGCTGCAAATGTATTCCTTGGCCACCCCGGCTGATCGTCATGAATGCGATCAGGTGTATCGATAATGACCGGATATTTTCACGAATCTCGCTCCAGTAACAGCACCGACCGAACTGTCATTATCACATAGCTAGGGTTGAATATCAGGTGATCCTCATACAGGTAATGACCGATTATTATATTTATATTATATTTATTCTTTATAATGCGTATATAAAAAAAGAAATATACAATCTCTGAATCGAATTCGCTATTTTTCTATAACATTTTTGTGCTTCATAGACATTAAGGTCCGATTTCACAATAAAAATTATTTTAGTATTATTTCCTGTTAACACCATTCTGTATTATTGCAAACGTTTATTTTATTTTCGTTTGATTGATTGGTGCGGCTTTAATTTTTATTTCTACAAGCTTAAAATATACAAAATTAATAAAAAACCATATTAATTGCATTTTATATAATAAATTTTTTAATGCTTATTTCATTTGCTTGATATTGTTTTGTTAGATTTAAAATATTACATGAAATGCCTTTCTTAGGCTCATTTTCACAATATATGGTTATCTAAAAATTAAAGGTTTCTAACAGATTCATCAATGAAATTCATTCAATTTCTTGGTTATCTTTAATCTTTAGGTAACCATAGATTGTAAAAATGGGCCTAAGAAAGGTATTTCATATAATATTCTGAAATCTAACAAAACAATATCAAACAAATGAAATAAGCATTAAAAAAATTTATTATATAAAATGAAATTAATATGGTTTTTTATTAATTTTGTATATTTTAAACTTGTAGAAATAAAAATTAAACAAGCGCCAATCAATCAAATGAAAATTAAAAAAATGTTTGCAATAATACTAAAATAATTTTTCGAATATTAATACATCGAGGAGAATGGCTTACTCCTCGAGTCCTGGCATCGCTGTCATCTACACCCTTTATCGTATTTCCGGGCCATATTATGTCTAGGGCACTTGCATACGGTGTAAATAAATACTCCATATCGTGGAGTGTCATCAGGCACTTCGGCCAGTCGTTTTGTGTGTGAGATATGGCGATACCTCGTCGCCTTCGAGTCAGTGCTGAGATCGAGCTGTGAAATGTCGAACTGAAGCTTCTTTGTGTTAAAAGATGAAAAAATCGAGTGATATTTTTTGTGCGATCGAGCAATCAGAATTTTTGTAATCACGCGAAAATCATGCATAAAACGTGATCAGAGAGTTAAATCAACGAAAGTGATTTTGATTTGTCAGAAAGTATCGGAAAAATAATTTTTTGTTTTTATTTTATATACATAATATATATACATGTAGCATATAAATTAATTAAGCAATATTAGAGCAAATGTGATACTTAAATATTTCTCAAAAGATTATAACAATAAATAACAATAAAACTCATAATAAAATAAAAAATAAAGGTTTTATTTCATTTAGAATTATTAAATAAAATTAATTATTCTTAAATAACGTATTTTTTGGAATTAAAAATAATAGTTATCAAATATATCATAAAAATACTGCGTCACATTTGCCCAAATATTATAATCACGCTTATTGAATTGGCGATTTATAAAGCAAACATTTCCGATGAAAAGATCTTTACAAATAAAATCGCGATTAAATTAAATCTTTAGGTTTTGAATTAAATATATAATAAATATGTAACTCAACGACATAATTCATCGCTTTGCAGTGATACACGGCATCATTCTTTCCGCGAAATGTGCGCGCTGTGCCATCGGTAAACAGAGTGTAAGGACTTTGTAAAAATATCATTAAAAGTATTATGCTCCGTTTATCAACAGTACGGTGTGACGGGATCATCTGCTGATCGAACTAAAAGAAACAACTCTTTGCGTTTGATTTTTGCGATTCCCATATTCTAGCATAACTCAACCGTGTTATTATGAAAGGTATTATGCTAGGAATATGCGGTGTCGTGAATTTGCATACCAATCCTCATGGTGAAAGTTCAAGAATATCGCCTATAAGTTGTACGGCGACAAAATGAAAAAAATCACAAAATATTCTTTAAATATTAATATATAGTTAGATGTAAACGATTATAGTTTTCCCGCCATTTATGAGGCCGAAAAAAATACTCTGGAATTGTATTGTATTTGCAAACTTCTGATTAAACGACTGCGATTACGAAGAGAAAGCATTTCGTTCGTTAAGTGTCAATAAACAGAAATACGTCCGTCGAAGAATGTACACATAGTCCATATAATGTACTCGTATTATTTGCATCGTCAAAGAAATCTCCTGATTCACCGAGGTTATCCATCTTTGCGACCTTATTGTATTTATTTCTATATATTGTCAGTGTATATCGATAGCGCGGTATTTTGCGCGAGGAATTCGCTGAAAGCGAATCTGCAATTATTTCGCTCTCGCGGTAACGTTTTTCTTCATGTCACGAACTAGTCGCGTTTCTCGTGTGATCACGCAATACAGAAGAAATCATTTCAAACTTTTGGTAAGTTCAATTTTCGATGCCTTTTTTTAGATACGATCATAAATCTGAACAAAAAGAACCGAACATATTTAATAATAGCTTAACGAAAATTTTATTAATTATTAATTATTAATTATTAAATATGTGAAAGTATTAATTATTGATAGTGCAATTAGAACGTTATACTAAATTAACTAAATATTTAGCTATAATAATTACAATATAATATATATCGAACACACAATTGAGTAATTACTTTTCCAAAATGTAAAACTCTTACAAAAACTGCTATGTATATGTGATTGCGTTTAAAGATAAATAATTCTTCTTTTATGTCTTGTAACTTTCCGTAATTTATATTACAATATATTAATGATTAGTTTAGCATTAAATTGATAAAACTGTAGAATCTGCTATTTCCTGTTTATTTAAAATTTGCGAAGCTTAAACTAAATTATTATAATAAACTTTAATGTATCAACGTTATATAGAGTGTCTGATAATTAACGCATAAAATTCGCATAGCGGCAGAATGGACTAAACTGAGTCGAAAAGTCCTCTGTTATTTTGCAATTTTCGCAATAGTTAACAAGATATTAATTAAACAAATACATAAAATAAGGCTCGAATGAATCTATCAATAAAATATATATATCAGAGCCAACGCCAGTTGTTCGGATGCACAGATTTTTCTTTATTCTAGTGTGTATAATAATACAATAATAAACGTTTCAACTCAAAATATTAATTACTAAAAATTGCCGAATATTGATCTTCAATAATTTTTTACTCAGATACTATCAATTTTACAGAAAAACAACAAGAGACAAAAATTGTTTATTTTCTTCTCATAGAGTTTTAAGAATTTTTTCAGAATTTTTTATCAACTTTTTAGTACTGCATTTTCTTATTGGCAACTATTTTTACCAATAAGAAAATATGGTATTAAAAAAATTCGGGAAAAATTCTCAGAACTTTATGAGAAGAAAATAAACAATTTTTATCTCATGTTTTTCTGTAAAGTTGATAGTACTTAAGTACTATATAATAGTATTTAAGTAAAAAAAATTATTAAAAAAAACCAATATATTCAGCGATTTTTAGTAATTAATATCTTGTTAACTATTGCGAAAATTGCAAAATGGTAGAGGACTTTTCGACTCAGTTTAGTCCATTCTGTCGCTATGCGAGAGTTTTTATCAGACACCCTGTATAAATGCGATAGCCTCGACTTGCGTAAGCAGTTATAATCTTTGTTATCATAAATAAATATATCTGTATGGCAACACACATTGCAATCCGTATCACCGAACTTACACCTGTATTAATCTCAATAGAGAAGCGATATCCGTTGAAATTTGCGAAGAAAATGCGTGTGGCCGTCGTAGGCGCTGGTGTAATAGGAGTAACAAGTGCGTTTGCGGTAAAAAGCGCTTTCCCAAATTATGATGTGAAGATCTTCGCCGATGCATTCTCACCTGACACCACTGGCGATGGAAGTGCTGGTTTATGGACTCCTTTTCTCCTCGGTGACACACCTGTCGAGGACATAACGTAAATATACCCAATTATATTTGCAGACAATAAAAGTGAAATTGCACGTTATGAAGTTCAAAGATTTTTCGAGGAAAAATATAGACACTTATTTTTCATGTTGAATACTTTTACACTTTCATTTATCGCAAATATGGAATACAGACCTATATAGCTCTGAACCATCTAATATTTCTAATAAATATAATATTTTTTCAATAATAAATTACGATACTTAATTACAATAATTATATTGAGTTACAATAATTAATTGTATGGTATTTTGTTAGTCGATGGGCTGGCAACACATATCAGTGGTTCGAGCAATTGTGGAAAGCTGGGTTGTCATCGAAAACGGGTGTTTCTCTGCTGCCTGTAACTTATGTTACTAGCGATTATAAAGGTGATGTTGAACCAATATGGGTAAAATTTGTTTATGGCTTTCAAAAATTAAGTAACGAAAGATTACAACGCTTAAATGAAGAACACAAGTCTAATTACAAGTACGTTTTCTGCGTTATAACTTAAAATTATTATAAAATTCAATAATCAAATTAAAATAAAATAAAATTAAAATAAATTAAAGATTATTACATACACAAAATCTGAACGAATCGCCTTATTCTTATTTTAATTACCGCTCGTTATTATTACCTCTTTCGTGCGTTTATAGAGATTTGACGTTAAAAATTTCAGACAAGGTATACAATTTATAACTTATACTGCTGAAAGTTCTATTCCTGCCGTGGCTCATGGAAAAGTTTATTGCTTTGGGCGGAAAAATGGAAAGAAGAAACATTAAAATGTTGTACCAATTAGCAGAAGAAGGATATGATCTAATAATAAACTGCAGCGGGCTCGGTGCACGAGAACTCGTCGCGGATGAAACAATGATGCCTATTAGAGGTCAGGTGTACAGGGTAATTGATTCTCCAATTTACATTGCATATCTCCTTGTTTTCAAGCAGATTCAAGTTATTATTAAAAAGTTACAATAGTAGTGATTCATTTATATATTCAATATGTGCGAATGTAAATATTTTAAAGTTGTCGTTTAAGCGCCGATCTTTTCCATAAATGGAAGTCGCACACTCTGTCTCTTCTTCCTTTAATATGTCTTCTTCTGTCAATATGTGTCTGATATACCTTCTTTAAAGTATTATCTTTGCTGAGTTTAATCTAAAGCTAACTGATTTAGGGACGTTTATTTAAGGTAAAAGCACCTTGGGCAATGCATATTTTTTTGGTGGACGATGATGCCTGCAATTACATCATCCCTAAGTATACAATATTAATAATGCATATTTATTGACAGTGACATTTATTCCTCTATACTGTTAAATCTATAGTGTCAAATTTAACCTAATGTGAGTCGCCGCTCCTACTAAAAATATATCATTATTTTTTATCAAAACGATAGTTAAATTTAACTCTATATCGTGTCAATTTGACACTATATAGTATCAAATTGACACTGTAGTGTCAAATATAATCATTGTTTCAGTATAAAATAACGATATGGTTGAGTAGGAGCAGTGGCGACTAACGTTAAGTTAAATTTGACACTATAGATTTAACAGTGTATAATATTTCTCCACAGCATCCACAGCGTCGTAATAGGCGGTACTCATCAAGAAGGCGATTTCGATCGTTCTGTACGAGAGAAGGATTCGAAACACATTTATGATGGATGTTGCCGCATAATGCCGTCTCTAAAGGTCCCTAAGATACCCATAAATTTAAGTTCTCTGTTAGTCATGTGGAATTTTGCATCTGTTAACAATCTGAATCTTTAAACTTCAGTGCAAATTTTCGTATTGTTCCAGACTGTATAAAAATCTGACAAAGCTCTTGTGTACTGAAAGATTTAATAATGAGGTTTTACTATCGTAGAAGTCGGATTGTATTTTACTTATTTTTTACAGATTTAAATTCATCTATCAAAACAGTATATATTCACAGTTAAAATATCTGTGCCTTCAAAATCCAACTTGGTCAGTGAAGGATTAATAAAAGCAGACTGTATAATATGAAAATTTGAGAAAGAATTCTTGTATATTGAAAGCTTTAACAACGAGTTTTTACTATCATAGAAGTCGGTTATTTTTTATTCCAGGTAATGCATGTTGCATAAGATATCTAAAAAACGTCTTTTAGATGTCTTATTTCTAAAAGATGTTTAAGGACCAAGACAAATTTTTTTCTCAAAATTTAAAATCCTTTTAATGACAAGCTACTAAGTCCTTAAGAAGTCTACTTGCCAAAAATTTCGCATTCCAAAGTTGACCTAGTTTTTTTGGTCGAAAAATCGACCAGCGGTCCTTAATGAGTTAAAAATGTCTTTTAGATGTCTTATACAACATAAATGTTACCTGGGGTACATATTTAAATTTATTTATCAGAATTTACGATCAAAATATCTGTACTTTCAAAGTCTAACTTGGTTGGTGGAGGTTTAATAAAAGGCCAGTAATTTCTCAAAATAATTTACGCTTATAATTTCTGTCGCAGGGGAGTGAAATAATACGCGCGTGGGTGGGCCTTCGACCAGGACGACCGCGAGTTCGTCTGGAGTGCGAGAGCCTCAGCTCGTCCATGGGAAAAGAGTTCAAGGTAAATTGCCATAAAATAATATACTGTTATAACTATATGCCGAGAGCAATATTGAACTTTAACACACCATCATTCGAGCGTCGCTAAACTTTACGATCGCTTCTTATAATGCTTGTTTCGTGCTTTATATTTTAGGTGATACACAATTACGGCCACGGTGGAAGTGGCGTGACGCTGTGCTGGGGGTGCGCCATGGATGTCGTGGAGATGATAAAAAACTTGAAAGTGCCTGAATTAAACTCCAAACTGTAACTTCAGGGACAGAATAAACTTTTTATCCTTCATACATTTTTACCTGCAGCGTTGCGGGGCGTTTAACCTTACTCGACCTTTTAACCCTTTCTTTTTATATCATCCGAAGAATTGTGTCGTTAAAAATATCTCATTTTTTTAGTTATCTCCTTTTAATTTCAGATTTAAATTAAATCCAAATTGTTTCTCCAGCGAGAGGAACGGGTGTTACCGTTAAGAACTTTCGTTTTTCTCAATCTGCAATGCTCGCTATTTGACACTTGATCGATATTCGTAATTCTTACTTTAGACCTACTTGTTTCGCATAACAATGGCATAAAGTCGAGAAACATAATTAAACGTCAAGAAAGCGAACGTAAACGCGCGAAGGTTCGCTCTGCGCGGGGCGCACCAACCTATTTAAAGTTTCGTGTCGTGCAGATCACTTCCGTAACTGTACATACAATTTCTAAATATGGTCGTCAGGCTGTAATTAAAGCACCAAACTACTAAGATACCTTACATGTCGACCATGCCGCAGTAGTCGCGTAAAGCTAGACGTCGGTGACGCGTGTCTCTTCAGTCGCAATACGATTTATATCGGCCATACAGCTTTCCATATATTCGCGACAGCATTTGACGTTTTTTGTCGTCAAAATTAAACAAGAAAATCGGCAGGTATGTTCATTAATATAAAAAATAGATTTTATATAAATTTGATACGTTTGACAAATTTGAATCAATTTCATTCTAAAAAAAATTTTATATATTCTCTCTCTCTCTCTTTATACAGAGAAACATATCGCTATATTTTTAATATTTAGCAATAATCATATATTATAATGATAATTTATGATGAATAAAAAACTTTCTTAAGAAAATTCAATATTTAAATATAAATTTAAGCACATTGCTGAGTTTTTTATAAACGGTTCTTCAGATTAATTATAAAAAGCTAAAGCTAGAAATTTTGAAGATGACAGACAGTGACTAGTTTTTAAAAAATTATATTAAAAAGAATTTATTTATGATTGAATTTGTTAATTTGGGTATCGATTGTGTATGAAACAAAATGAAAATTACAAAAGTGAGCAAATTCACTAGATGCTGACCAATGAAATAAATATTCTAGTAAATTTGCTCACTTTTCTAATTTTCACCTTATTTCAAGATATACAATCGACTTCCTGGGATTTGATCCATGGGTTTGATCCATATCGATTAACATGATTATCGCGTCTACGCGGCAAATGCGAATGCGAGAGGGATAAAGTTCGGTTTGAGTTTGACGTGAATTGATTGACAGCACGATTGAAATAATCGAATAATGGAAAGCAGCAGTGGTCATGATCGTCGTCGAATACAGCGATAAGCATCCGGTGACATCGCGCGATTTTAAAAACGGTAATTCCAGAAACGAGAGCTTAACAAACAGTCAAAGCATCAGCGAGTCCGACAAGAAGCAATCCTGCAAATCATCATTTCAAAATCAGAAATATATTGGTCCTAACAATTTCTCGAACTTATCGCTTGCAAACGACAGAATAGGTGTCGCCAAGTATGATTTCGAGCAGCATCACTGGAAGATCACCGCAGATAAAGGCAATAACACAGGTATTCGTAGATCCGACAAATTGAGAAGACAAATTCAAAATCACATTTAATAACAAATTCACACGAGGTAGATATAACGAGGAATTTACAAAGAGAAAAACTATGTAAGAAGATCTGCAAAAACTTTAGCTGTTTCAGCGATCTGATTGCTGGGAAACTCATTTCTTTATTTAAACAGAAAGGACAATTTTGATGAAATATCTAAAAATTTAGCTAGATATGAAAATAATTTTATTGGACTACAAAATAATTATGTAGAATGTTCGGACGAACTGGTTGCTAGAATGTGAATAACTTTTTGCAGCACTGCTCATCATGCTTGAGTTTCTGCGTAATTATTTTGATGGTCTAACAAAATTATTTTTAAATTTACACCTAATTTAATTTTTAAATACTTCAGTAAATTTGTTCCTTCCGTGTAACTTTATAAAAATATTCTCTTTCTATTATTCTTTAAAAACGCTTTCAATTTTCCATGCTTTTTTGTCCTAGTATTTTTTTTATAATTCATTAATAAAACTTTCCGAATAGATGCATTGTGCGAAGGAAATGATTCAAAGCGGCACAAGAAGGATGTGCAAGAAACGTCAAAGACCAGGAATAAGAAAAAGCGGAGGTACTACAAAAAACTATACATTTCGTTTGGGAGCCAAAATTGACTTTATGATTTAACGAAACAGATTTTTAACAATTTGCACGGTGAATTGCAAGTACGACGTGGTTAGACGCGTGGCTGTGCGATTCGGGATGAGAGAAGTTACGGAGGATAGTAGTTGGGATCTTTATTGGACCGACCTGAGCATCAGCATAGAGCGTGTTAAAGACATGAAGAGGTTCCAGAGGATCAATCATTTCCCTGGGATGACAGAGATATGTAGAAAGGATCTACTCGCTCGTAATCTCAATCGCATGCAGAAGCTGTTCCCGAAGGACTACAAATTTTTCCCGAAAACTTGGTGCTTTCCCGCGGAGTAAGACAACACATTTTAATGATTAAAACTGTTCATTTAGCAAATAATACAGTTCTAATAAATCAATAAATAAAAGAAGGACTACGAGCCAATTATAATGTAAAATATTTAATAATTTAAAAATCGTACATACAAACGTTTCGACACCGATCGGGTCATTTTCAATGTAAAACAACAAAACATTATTACATAAATTATCGGAAATTTTCGGTCACATTATAATGTCCAGTATGCGGTCCGTATTTAAAATATCTTAAAGATGAAAATATCATAACGTCGCTGTACATCGTCGAGGATATATCCAACAGTATTATGGCTTACTTTTTATTAAACATAACTTTGTTAATTGCTTTTTTTTCTCGGCGTCTAACTTACATCATTAAGACAATTTAAGAATTGTGAAAAGTGAGATGAGATCACCTTTAAGATATTTTAAATACGGACCGCATACTGGACATTATAATGTGACCGAAAATTTCCGATAATTTATGTAATAATGTTTTGTTGTTTTACATTGAAAATGACCCGATCGGTGTCGAAACGTTTGTATTTACGATTTTTAAATTATTAAATATTTTACATTATAATTGGCTCGTAGCCCTTCTTTTATTTATAGTTCTAATAAAATTTTATTAGAATGCTATTTTATTGTTAATAATATTCATCGTTTGTCTTAATCGACAAAAATTAATTTTTTGTTTCACATTTAAATTCAGTGCATCAAAATTGAATAACCATAAAACACAAACCATACAATTCTGATCTCAGTGTTATCTGCTACATTAAGCGTATAAAATATTATTTTCTATAAATATTCATCCTTCGCGAATAAAATACTATTTGCTTAATAATTTTATGGTCTATTTGTACACATCTTTTGTTTTGAGTCTAATTGACATTTCATACCTTGGCATAAAACACATACTCACACAATCATATTTTTTAATAATAATAATAATCATAGGCCATGAGATAAAATATCATATGACAATTTTACGAATCGTTTCATGTATCAAAATAAAAAATGCGGTCTATCGATTGAAAGCCCTTATCTATTTTACAAGCGCGAGGTTCTCGTATGCGTAAGTCATTCTGTTTTGTTTCACTGAACGATCGGGTTCCCGATCGTAAATTCCAAAGGTTTGCTATTACGGCGATAAAAAATAATCAATATTTCCCGAAGTCAAAAAGCGTATAAGCAGAAAACTCTGGATTTTGATTTCCAGTCTCGGTGATGCGACGACTTACGCTAAGACGCGGAGATCGAAAACCTTCATCGTTAAACCGGATGCTGGCTGCCAAGGTCGTGGTATTTATTTAACAAAACATTTAAAGGACGTCAAACTAAGCGAACGTTTGATCTGTCAAGTATACATCGCAAGGGTAGGAAATATTAATTTTTAATATCACGATTTAATAGCACGAAAGAAATCATTGAAAGTTTACCGACTTTACTCTTTTTTATAAATAAGATACATTTTTTTATACATTTCTCTTTTCTTTATATTCTCTTGAGATTCTTTAAAATTCGTTCAGATTTCTTTCTAACTAATATTATGCTCAATTATAACCAAAAACTTCACGATTACAGCATAAAACAAGTATAATGTAGTTCTTTTTCTTATTATATCCTTAGCCCTTCTTAATAGACGGATACAAATTTGATCTACGTATTTACACACTAATCACGTCATGTGATCCTCTCAGAATCTATGTGTATAACGAAGGACTCGTGAGGTAAGACATAAATATAAAAAGAATACTTACACTCAAAAAAGTGATCAGTTACAGCGAAAATTATCTAAGTTTAAAAAATAGCTGGAATAGATAAATTTCTAGCAAGTACTGCGATATTGGATATGTATTGCATCTAATCATATAGACAGAGATAGAATTTAGATTTGTGCTATAAATTCTATGCATATGATACATAATTCTCTATCAGATACAAAATACAGTTATAATTCTAGTTGGAGCAGCAAAATATTTTTTTGCGTGTAAGAAAATAAATCGTGATGACATGAGATATAATTCTTTTAAAATATTTTTTTTAATATAAATAGTTATTTCTTTATACTTTTCAAATTTACACACACACACACACACACACACACACGTACATTTATTTTTTCGATTTATTGGGAAGTGCAAAACACATTGCATTTTTAGATTTGCAACTAGCAAATACAAGGAACCGATCGGATACAATATTTCTAATATGTTTATGCATTTGACAAATTACTCCATTAACAAGCATAGCCGAATGTACATAATCGATGACGAAATTGGCAGCAAAAGGTTTGTATTGGCTGTAGAATTGGCGATAAAATACCAGTACAGCAAATTATTTCTTACAGAAAAATATCAACATTGAATAAGTGGTTTAAAACGAAAAATGTCGATGTAGATGAATTATGGAGTAAAATCGACGAAATTATAATTAAAACCATAATCGCTGCATATCCCGTATTGAAACATAATTATCACGCGTGCTTCTCGATGCACAATATGACTTGCGCGTGTTTCGAGCTATTAGGATTCGACATTTTGCTCGACTGGAAACTCAAGCCTTACCTTCTTGAAGTAAGCTTTTCACAGAGAGATTAAGATATCTAAAAGGAATATTATTAAATATTCTCTCTACAATTAGTAAATCTATCAGGTAAATCACTCGCCAAGCTTTCACACAGATGCACAGATAGATAGAGAGGTAAAGGAAGGATTGCTGATGGACACCTTCGATATATTAAATTTACAACAATACGATAAGAAGAAAATAATAGAGGAAGACAGGAAACGAATCAAAGAGCGACTTCTTCAAGGCTTAAACGGAAAGGATCTTAGGCAAGTGGAATATTTCAAACAACATAATACAATTTGTATAGATAATTGATCTTTTCATTGCACCAATCTCGTAGTTTTTTATTATATTTAATTAATTTCGATTAATTGCAAAACTTTGTAAAACTTATTAGTAAAAAGTGGCATTCAATTATAGACTTTTTTTCCAATCCATACATATGATATAAAAATTAAATCCGAATTTTTAATTAGTATGTTAAAATATCTGTTGAGAGTTTCTCATTTTATAAAATATAATTCATAGAACATAGAATTTAAAAAATTCGCAGAGTTTTATTATATATTATAACAAAAAATATATTGCAATAAAAGTCTGTTAATAAATCCAAACAATACGCACTCAAATTAACGATTCGGCTTCGATGAAATCCAATAGAAACGAGAGCAATTACGTGCAGAGGCAATTTCAGTGGGAGGACGACCATATGGGCAATTTCCGAAGAATTTATCCATGCTTTGACGAGGATAAATATCAGTCTTTCTTCGCACAGAATGCTCTTTCTGTTTTTCAAGATACAGTGGCATCAAGAGCGCGCGAAGAAGCATCGAGAATAGAGAGAGAAGAGAACGAGGTAAATTTTTTATCAATTCACATTTTAGTATCCTCAACTTTGGCAGATGAATCTTCAAAACAATTTTTCATATTTATTAATGTTACGTTAAAATTATTGCCAATATGATTCATATGTGAAGCGAAATGAGATACTTTGTATATAACATGAAGCTTTTTGTCAGAGATTTTTATCGAAATAATATAAAGCTTTTTAAAATATAGCGAGCATATTGTTATTAATAAAACTGCTCGTTGTTCGACCAATAAAATGAACTGCATTAACACACAGGTTTAGCTTTAATAAATTATTATTAAATCGATGTTTTTTATAATTATTTTTTAATATCTTAATAAATTACTGCTAATTCTTATCTTTGAATCGATTACTTTCCATAAATAAATTTGTCTTATTTCAGCTGAAAGCAAAAGAGGAAGAACGCAAACGAACAGTCGGAAAATGGAGCGAGCAAAAATTAGGCCCTGAAAGTTCAAACGCACCAAAGAAATTTCAAGAGAAAAATAAATCCGCAGGCGTGATAAGAAAAAACGTTAGTATACAAAACAGTTCTATTCTATTTAATTAAATTGTCATTTATACAGAGAAATTCTTCATTTTATATATATATATATATATAAAATATACTTCTTCGTGAAAATAGCTATGAATGAAAATTAGAAGAGAATAATTATCTCTTATTAGGAAAAGTACGAAAGCTCGACAGAAGTTATAAATGGAATGTTAAATGAGATGGGACTTCTTCCTTTATCTCCGGGAAAAAGCAAGCACATTATCATCGTCGCTTTTTTCGCAGATCAATAAGCAGGATGCAGAGGGATCTCCTACCAATGCCCTGTACTCTTTCGAGCCTGAAATCATATCGGAGTCTGAAGAGAAGGAACGAATAACAGCCTTGGCGCAGAGGGATTTTCTCATCAAGAGCTACGGCTTGCTCGAGCAGATATACGTGGCGATGAAGAGAAACGGCATGTTACGACCCGCTGACGAGAGAAAGTACGGTTTGTACAGCAGGCTGGGATTACACGCAAACACGAACCGCAGCACATGCTCTTCCTCGCACAAATCCCATCATCGTCAAAACGGCCATCTAGATGCCACAAAAGCGACCACGAACCAATGTCCGCAATGTTTCCTGAGAGTGAATGAAGTAAGTATATATTTCTATCAATCGAGACATTGCTCGTCTTAGAAAATCAAATCCAGATATATAAATCAAATTTTACTCGACAAGTTTTTATGCTATTTACATTCAAAGCGACAGAAATAGATCTCTTCTTTCACTTTTTATATTTAACGCAAAAGAGATATAATATATTAATTAAGTATTCGATAAATGCATGAAAGAGATATATATAATTTTCTTTTTTAGCACAAATCGATGAATAATCAGCGTCAGTTTAACAATTCAAACAGAAGTAAGCATCGATCATAATTATTATAAGCACATTTTAGAAATTATCGCCTCCCAGCAAACACAAAGTTACATGTAACGTTAATTATTTAACCTGTTAATTATTTTCTCACTCAACAATATAACAGTATAATAATGGAACATATGTTATATTAGTTATATTGTTGAGTGAGAAACAACAGTTAATTACAACAGATACGTTACATGTAACTTTGCATTTGCAGGGCTAGTTATATAGATATGCGTTTAAAATCATTATCCCTTTCAGGCTTGTGGATAACATGCAACGAGGCACTCGTTTACGTTCGTCCGAAAATACCACAAAGCCTGTGGATGGAAGAAATGAATTCTAATAATCATATCGGACGAGTAACAAAAGCACACGTTGCTAGAACATTGTCGAATACTGTCCGGCTGCACACTCTCGAGAGAAGAGAATCCTCCCATTCGGCGAAATCTAAGTAAGCTGTAGTCACGTTTTTATCTCTCATAATCTGCGTTCGTTCTTACAATTATATGCTTAAACTATAATTGTATTGAAATATAATTATTTATTATACAACAAAATTATTTAGAGTTGATGTTACCACTCAGCACCGAGGATGAACGGGTCATCTTCTCTATCCAGAGTTAAAAAGCAAAGAAATATGCTACTTAATATGATAAAAGGAATTATTTTTCCGAAAGATATAAAAAATACAAAAGCAAAAGGATATATAAAAGATTAATATAAAATTGACCAAGAAAATTTAAATAGACATTATGAAGATTTTGCAATATTATGCTATTAACGTTCCTAATATTGAGCATAAATGAAGATTAATAACAATAAGATTCGTAATATTGAGAAATACAATTTCACATTAAATATATTACACATATTCCTATAAAGCAATTGTTCCAGCTGTGTTAAAAATACTTTATTAAGTAAATTGCTCAACCGCGTTAAAAATACTTTATTAAATAAATTCAAATACCGACGAAAACTCATGTCAAGAAGAAATACAACAAGCCTTATCCAACATCTGGAAATGCAATGAACTGTGGGACACGTCTCGGTGTGTGAGCGGATTCTATTTTAAGGTAGAGAACAGTAATATAAAAATCAACAATGTATCGACTTGTTATTTAAAGTGCCATATAAATATGTACAATAGATATATAAGTGAACATGTACACGTCGCATAAGAGTGGGAATTAGGTACGCGCCGGTGCGTATGTAAAATGATCATACACACATACGCAGACGCCAGTCTATAATATGTATAACAATTTTTATTGCTGATATATATTCTGTATTCACATGATAAAAAATAATCTATGAACAATTTGTCGCGTGCTGAGTTTTGCTCCATTTATGATATTGCGTCCACGTTGTTTTGTCGCAGCGTCTCATCATCTCGTCTCTTCAGTCCTTTTTTTCTCCTCCTTTTTCTTTTCATCTATTAGTCTTATCATTTTTCGTGTCGCAATCGGTAAACCGAGCCTGTCATGGACGCGTTTCAAGAGTGCTACGACTAAATAATAAGAATCAAAGTTCTTTCAAAGTTCAAAATCGAAATAACAATAATCCACAATTTTTTTACAAAATAATACTGTGTAAGAGGTATATGTATGTGTTTCCAGTGTGTGTGTGTGTGTGTGTGTGTGTGTGTGTGTGTGTGTGTGTGTGTGTGTGTGTGTGTGTGTGTGTGTGTGTGTGGTATCTGTTGTAAAGTAATGTGCCGAATTGGCAACGACAAGAGTTGTACGTTGCTCTCTCTTAAATTTCTAAATCACGGCCGGACTTCCTAAATTACAATTCTTTTTTCTTCGACTATAAAACGTAACGGCATCAAATGATAGCAACACTTCGCAGAATCTACGTATGTAGGCGATTTAACGTCGGCACCCTCGACTGTAAACTGCGTTATATTACGTCATTGTAAGAACAAGAATTAGTGCGAAATACATCCAACATATTACGATCGATGAATCCTTTTTTTTTTAACGTGATATATATTATTTACATAAAACCACTGTGCGACTGCGACAAATATTTGCGCGTCTCTCTCACTTGATTCCCACCATATTAAAATCTTAGATATAGAAAGGCTTATGTACATAAAGTCAATAGATATTTATGATATCCTATATTATACTGCTTAAAAAGAAAAAACCGTAAATATGTATTATATTCATGCGAAGTATTTCCATCTCCGTTAAAAAAAATCGTCAAATATTCGGCATAATTATATACATACTTCCTGAAAATGAAGGTAACTGCATTTGAAGAAAGTTGCAATGAAACAAACAGTTGGACACATATAAAATGCATTTGTTTCGAACAGATTTTTACAAGAGGGGGTTAAGCTATCGTCGTAAAACTTATCAAATTGTTATCGATAAACGAAGAAAGGAATTCGCGCGACATGTATGTCGAGATGGATGCTCCGTAACACAAATATGTAGCAATCATCTTTAAAATTATATAATCACTCATGGCTTAATTCTGTGAAAGATAAAAACATTATCTTTAGTTACTTAAATTACAGCTCATTTACTTTTTTGTACTAGAAAATGATTCATCCGCTGCTTCGGCTATTGACAACATTATTCGTGTAAATCTTCATAAATCGCTTAATCCCCTGTATTTTTTAATCTTCGCAATAAAAACAACGTTAACAGGTTTTCGTGTGATCTTCCCGCGCGAGAAAATAGAAAGAAGATATGTGAAGATGGTATCCTATTCGTTGTAATACTAAAATATGAGCATTATGTAGGATCCTGCGTATGTTACTCACATGTAATATGTGTTAAAAACGATTATATCTAGTAAACAAGCTTAAGGCATGAATTATACGGAGACTTCGAGTAAAAAATAATTTAATTTTAGATTAAGAAATATTGGCTTATAAAATTAATTTCTTCATCTAAAATTAAATTCGTCAATTTTATATTGAGAATAAATTAGTAAATTTATCTAATTGAGGTACCGTAAACACTAATTATTTCAATAATAATTTCCGCTCTTCGTTAGATCTCCGTTTAATACAGGCATTAAATGATATATATATATATATATATGTGTGTATATATCTAGCTAATATTTCATATACATATAAAAAACTATACAATCCGTAGACGATAATTTTATATTAGCTGCCGACGGAATTTAGCTTTTTGTTTTAACAGTTAATCTCCTGACAATAATATGCTCTTTTTTTTAATATTAATATCGCCGATATTATAAACCTGGCAGATGCGAAGATTATGCTAGCTAGTTAAAATTGTTAAATGTGCACAGATTTCTTTATCATGAAGTTGAGAGACATTACTTTGTTTTATTTCGAAATAGTTTGAATTTAATAACGAATTTGGTTGGATGCATCAGTGCAGATCAAAATCTGTTGTACATTAATTTATCTAAATAGATATAATATAGGCGCTTTGAACGGTTAAACATCCAATGTATCTACTAAACGATGACGTAACTGTGATGAGCATCCCATTAATTTAACTATATATGCAGTACGGTATGCCCGTATATCATTTTGCGTACAACAGTCTTTGTGTACACTACTCAAATTCGCTATATATTATCTTTTATAGATATAAATGGTGAATTCAGATGAATTGTAAATTATAAAAGCGCAAATACTAGCAAAAGACACGTAATCTGTGAGGCGCAATTCCAATAATTTTATAATTTCAATCAATTTTTAACAATTTCATTTTTCACTTCAGCTTTGTCTGAATGTTAGAGGTTCATGCTGATTCCGTTTCTTATCTTTCTATTGAATTATAAAAGCTTGTTACAGTAGAAAAACCTGCAGTTAATATCAGTCAAATAAATTCCTGTTGTGTGCGTAAGCAATCTCATTAAAGATTACTTCATAAATAAAACATTTTTATAAAAACTTTTTACACATAACTTTAGAGATATATTTCTTACATCTACTAATTTAACTACGCAGTTAAATCAAGAGTTTAAACCATGGCAACAATATAATCAACCAAATTATTAACATGAAAAAAGTAAAACATATTTAATTGAAGATTGAACTGGCAAATCAGTTTTGCTTTCCGTTGCTATTGCAAATTCGACTGCATCACTGCCGCAAATTATAAAACCTATTGTACATTTATTTACCGAAATGTAAAAACGTAAACATCTTAAATTGATGAAATATACAACATATATTTTATTAAACATAATCCAGTCCGTTTATGTTTTTACATTTATGTATAACAGTCTTTAAATATGTGCTAGTGCGTGTATTACGCATCCAACCGAATTTGTTATTAGGTTTCTTCAAAAAATAAAAGGCAACTTACTTATCTTGTGCATATAAAAAAATTTCTCTATCGTATTGTTTTTATTATACATTCGTTCTCCATTTTATTAAAAAACGAAAAATATTTCATCATATATGAATAAAATATTTACTTTCAGTTAGATTTATAGAAAAGTTAAAGACAGCGCTAAAAAAATAAACCGAAAATATTAAAGTAATAAAATTTACCATGGTTTCTTCATACTAAAATAATGACAAATAATATAAGAATTGCAGCATATCAAGGTACATCGCTAGTATCAATACTGCATTTGTTTGTGTAATTCCGTTTTTTGAATGGTAATTCTGTTCGTGCTGATTGTATTAAGTCACAAACTTAAATTTAATAAAAAATTTAATATGTAAATTGTTAACAATAAAAATACGACTTGCGACAAGCTCTTATGTCAACTTCCAATCAATCAATATAATTTGTATCACAATAAATATATCATCTGCATGATAAAGGTAATATATTCATAAATGTAATAAACCAAAGATAATTTAAATAATGTGTATGACCTATTTATTTTGTGTATGATTTCAAATATGTATTTTATCAATATGTATTTTAGTATTGATTTATATTTTTTATGCTATTATCTTAAAGAAATATAAAAAAAAATTATAATTGATACGCGATGACAAATGTACTCGTACAAATCAATTTCTTTTAGTAAAATTAATATTACAAACAACATTTAAATATCAATTGCGAAGATGATAATTTATTACGATGTTTATCAGGAACGTTTATGTATAGGATAAAACGAAGACGATGCAAAATTGTTCGCGGCTCGTCTCTAATATATGTCTTACATCTGTTTTGCTAATAAAACCAAATATGTAGGTACTATTAATTTTGAATTAAATGCAATTAGTCATAGAAGCATTAGATCCTTTGTAAATCTTAAAGATTTAGAAATTTAATATTTTTTTTAATCTTTTTGATATTTTGAGCTATAAATTTTTTAAATATTTTAAATTTAATTTTAGTTTTTTAAATAAAAAAAAACTACGATTGCCAATTATTTTCACTATCTGCCAAGATTCAATATTAAATAATATTATAATTTAATGAATCTAATGTATGAATCCATTTGTCATGAACAACTTGAAATTAAAATGACATTTGAGTTGTACCTCTGCTTTCATATTCATCGATACAACTTACAATGGTATCCTAATATTTCAACAAGTTAAAGCTAAGGTATCAACAACAGCGTATTTTATGTTGAATGCACGACTTCGCACGTGCATTAATATTTATCATGTGCTAGGGTGTCTGTGTATATGTGTTGTGTGCACAATCGCACACGCATATGTGCGTGTACCACATATAAACGCTAACAAATAGTCACTGGAGCGTCGCACGAACGACGGGA